TTTTTTTTTTTTTTTTTTTTTTTTTTTTTTTTTTTTTTTTTTTTTTTGTTATTCCAAATTTTAGTCCAGCAATGTCACATGCAAAACGATTTCACATCCAAGATACTGTACGGAGATCAGACGTCGGTGTGTCCTTTTCAATCAGTGGTCTTGTATGTCTGCAGGTGCACATGCTAGCCAACAGGTGGAACTCCAGTTTTCCATTTAACTTCAATGTGAAGGGAATGTTACAAGCCTCTGGATCTATGGGGCTGTGGTGTTGGGAGGGAGCACGGATCACGCTGAGTGTGTGTGTGTGTGTGTGTGAGAGAGTGTGTGTGTGTGTGGAGGAAAGGGGAAATAATGAATCTGTCTATTGACATGCATCATCTCCTGTGTCCGACCGTCTCCTGTTTTCGCTGACTGTAGTGTGAGTGTAACGGGTTTGTCCTGTACAGTGTGTATGCGTCACAGATACATGACAAGTTTCTTGAGCACAGCTGCAGGGAGTGTATGTATGTGTGTATGTGTGTGCTGGCAGTCCATGGACATTATTCTCAGTACTCCTGACTTTTTCCTAAATGAAGAGCTGACTAAATGTGCTATTTTAATGTTTGTTTTTTCCATCTTCTGATCTGTCACACTTTGTTTTTAATTTGCTGTGACCCTGCTCTTTTATCACCATTGTCTGAGGGTAAAATGTCTTTGTTGGGAACAGAACGGTTGGATAAAGGAGATGATGAAGAGAGAGGGATGGAGGGAGAGAAACAGTTTTTGTTTGTTGGTATAAATAATTAAACTCATTAATAAAGTGATGAAACTGTTCCTGTCTCACATTCATGATTGAACTGTAAGTGAGCCGTGTTTACATGAGCACAGAGGATTTATTGATGACTCACGGAGCTCGTGTTGATATGTGGCATAGTCTTAGATTAATGTTTTATTTTTTTAATTTACACCGCAGCCCTTGGCCCCAGTAGTACTCCAGTAGTGATAAACTAATATGGGATTTCAGGGCCAATAATAACTGATTATCTGTTTGTCGTGGCTGATACCGATAAAATAACCAATGATGAGACTATTGAAATTGCAAAAATGGGATGAGGGGAAAGAAGACAAACTAGATTTTCAGTTTTTTTTCCTCTGTTCGGATAATCTCAATCTCTAGGTTCTTCAGTACCAGGGAGTGTGGACCAGCAGTTAACTACTTATACTGGAGTTTTTCAATTTTGTTTTTTTATTTTTCCACTCCACTACAGTTGAGTAGAAAAACTAACTAACCCTAAAGCCTCACCCTAAATGTTCCACTTTCACTTCATGCACCACATTTATTTGACAGCTATTTACTTTTCAGATTAACAGTATAAAAACCTGTAATGCTCTTATGAAGCAAAATGTATCAATACACTGTGAATTAAACTACCCCAAAATATATCAAATTATTCTAATTAGTTCCACCGTAATATAACGTTAAAATTCTGCCAACATGTTAATGCATCAGTAATTCGATTATAAAATAATCCTGCATAATGAGTACTTTAAGCATTTTAAGTACATTTAGCTGATATTACTTTTACGTAAGTTACATTTTGAATGCAGGACTTGCGACCGAGTATTTCCACACTATGGTAGTGGTACTTTATATTGAGCAAAGGAAGAGTACTTCTTCTCCTGCAGAGTGCAGTAGTGAAGATGAATGTAGTAGAGCGAGAGACATGTGTTGAGTAATTCCATCTGATACAACCTGACAATCCCTCTGAGGATGCGGTGGAAATGACGGATATTTCTCAGCCTGCTGGTAACTCAGCCACACATCACCATGAAGAGTGTGATGTTGAGATTGTGTTCGGCTCAGGTGTTGAGCCATGAGCAAAGTTTGTAGTTGTGTTTTCTCGAACCTTTCTCCTACAAAAGAAATGTTGATAACTGAATGTGCTGAATATCAAAACGTATACATTTGCTTATCAGTTATGAGTCGTGGGATTTTCTTTAATGAAACCCTTTCATGGAGGGATTAATGAAATGATGCTCTTGTTGTGCTCCAAAGTGGTAGAGTGAACTCTGGAAGGGACCAGTTTCAGAATGATGAAATCAGAATGGTTGTTATGGAAAAGATGTTATCGCAAATGTCAGTGAAAATGTTTTTGACCTCGACTGATGAATCTCGCACTTCCACAGTTTGATGACATCGGGCCTGAGGGAGGCCGGTTCACGGACAATTAACATATTCATACTGCTCTGTGTGTTTATCTTTTAACCGTTTCCTCTCTTTTTGACATTTGTTTCAAGATATCTGAGCATCACATTGAATTCAGGTCTCCTTTGACTGCATGACTTCAAGGACCATCAGCACAAAACTCAAACACAGCAGAATATCTTCATAGTCGCTCAAGGAAACCTCTCCAACACATCTATCTCAATGTTTCATTCAGACCACAATCTGCTTTTCACTGTCACAGAAGAAGAGAAGGATTTAATGAAGTCTCAGGGTGTCTGTGAACTTTCTTTTTTCGTCTTTCTCTGTGTTGGGTATCAAGATATTCATAAGCTCTGGCAGAACCTGGCCGGAGATTGATTAAAATTGCTTGATGACCAGTTAGCCGGCCCTTCAAGTTCAGCTCAGATAAATGAACACTTTGTCCTTGTATGAGGCCCTGTCCTTGGTCTCTGATCGTAAACATGAACTCAAGTCTTAGATTGACATTTTGCATTGTGTGTTCACTTCTGAGTTTGTTCATTTTTGACTTAAGTTTGTAGCAGGGCAATGTAATTAAGAGGCAGAAGAAATCCTGTTATACTGCGTGAATTATGTTTGTTATTAGTTTGGAAAATCAGTCATAAACAAGGTGTATTTGTGGGTTGAAATTTTCCAATTTGGGGTATTAATATGGAATTGATAGAAATGATTCACCACATAAGATATATTCGAGGGAAGATTGTCTGGAAAGAATCTAATCTGGGAAAGCTAAACTGACAAATTATCAATATTTAGTGATAGATGTGGATGTCATTTATTTTACAGGGTATGTGTAAATATGTATAGGTATACTTGTTTGTGAATATATGTATGAAATATTTATTTTCTTTTTAGTTTCTTTAGGTGTATTCCTAATTGTTTTCTTTTTGTTTTCTTTGTACCGGCTGTGTTTTTAGTGTCATATTTAAAGCCTTCTTGGATGGCTGTGTGAAGGAAACAATAAAAATCATAATTGAAAGAGAAATACATTTTTCAAATGTGACTTTTGTAACAAAACCATAGCGTGATGAATAGATGTCAGTTGTTTTTGTTTAATAATGTGCTTTTAACTAGAGGCAAATGGCAAAGATAAAAATCTGCGTTTCTTTTAGATCAGAGGAATCAAGCTCTTAAGAAGCTTCATAATCTCAAAAAAATAATCCTCTTGATAACTGCTGAAATTAGTCTGTTATCAGTTTTTTGTGTGGAACAAATCCAGCTCATCGACCCTAAAAGAATAAAGATAGTGAATAACGAGACTGAGAGTCTCTGTTTGTGGCTCTCTGAGGCTGAACTAAGGTACAGCTGTGCTTTGGACTAAATGCTGAAATCAGCTTGTTAACTGAAATTGTTTCTTTTGTTGTCTTTTTTGTTTGTGACCTTGTTGACTACAGGAGGCGTAATGACATTTACAATTTCCACCTTATAAATCCATTACTAACTGATACAGGCTTATATTTATAAATGATCCCTTCCACTCTGTTATTTAATTTCAACCAAAAATACATCAAATCAAGGAGATTCTGCCAAAATACATTTGTAATCATGTGGTTATTATTGATGAGAATCTAAATTTATGATGTATGAAATTGGTGTATTGAGTGAATCTCACAATATCAATGTTCGTACTAACGTCATGTCAAATAGTGTCTATTTTTGCCTTGAGTGAAACGGCATCTGCTCACACAAGCCTACGGTAGAGATGCTGAGAAAACAACAGAGATAAAGAGGAATAAAATGCTCTGTGTGAGCCCCCCCCCCCCCACTGCTGGGACCTGCAGTCTCTGAACCGTGGTGTGAATGAAAAACATGGCTGCTAAGTCGTCATCGTGCTGATACGAAACATCAAGGTTGAATCATGTTATCCCGCGATGTGTGGAACAGATTGCACAGTTTCTCTGGAGCCTGAGTGGCCCCGGCCCTTCTGGCTGAATGCCCGGCCGGCTCTTTAATACCATTTGGAGTCCAGTTAAGCAGTCTGGAGGAGCTGCTCATCTTCCCAATCCTCCAATGGGGCACATCAGGGCACTGTGTAATTCTGGGAAAAGAGTGGAGTGGGCTAGTCTATACTTTCACTGACCTCTGTATATAATACCTGATGCAGCTGGCTGTGCTCACTCTGAGGGTAAATCTGGTAAGTGTAAAGCTATATAGTGTATTAATAAACCTCTGTGGGCATTCAAGTGCAGTTGAAGTCACATGAGGCAGTTATTGCTGTCGCTGTATAAGAGGTGAAGACAGTCGGCCATTGAACAGCTGCAGGAACAAACTCAGACTGTGGTTTCAATGTGACGTAAACAAAGTTGCTGATCAGCAGCTGACACATTTGCAGACGGCTGTGTGTGTGTTTGTTTATGTACTGAAGGTTTTAATAATGCATTGTGTTAGTCTGTAGGTTGATATATTGTACGTGATTGTACTTAGTCATGATTTCATTTTGATTTGGGGCACATTTTGTGTTATTTGTCTTGTGCTGTTTGTCTGTAACTCATTGTTATTGCTGCCTATAACATTTTTTGAAAGTCAGGCAGACTTTTGCCTGCTCGGATATAATCTTAATTCTTCCTCTCTTTGCTCTTCCTCCTCAAACAGAAAAGACTGCTCTTCTAACATCTTTAATATTTTGGAGATCCAAGCTGTTCTAAATAACTGGTGTTGATATAATGATGTTTTAAGTCGGAAAGGGGGAAACTCAGACAATAATAATAATGGAAAAGATCTCTAGTTGATTTTCTGGGATGACTTTGTGTGTCAAACACACAACGTGTGTGTCAGACACACAAAGGCATCTGCAGTGTGGGTTCTGCAGATTAACTCTCCTAACTTTGTGTAAACTAGGACGTTGGTCCATGAGGTTAAACACAATACCTATTGGCTTTGTCGTGTTTGACATATGGGATCCAACGTTATCTTAACATATTGAAGAAAGAAAACATATTGATTTTACTAACAATACCTTATGGACTCACATATCATTTCTTAAAAGCTTGAAGTGTAATTCTTGGAAATAGTTTACCCAACTCAGTGTCCCCTCTTACTAGTTTTTTCATGAGCTGTTTTCATTGGTGTTTTAGGACCTTGTGTTCTATTTGGCTTCATTGACGCTGGAAATAATAGTTTGACAAAACACTCCAAAAACTCAAGAGTCCACTACCATGCAGCTTTTTCTAGACTTTTCAACAGTGTCACATGGTCATCAGCAAATAAAGCTTCAGACCAAAAGAGTTATGAATTAAATCATTAACAGCATTCATGTCAAAGCAGACTTTGAACAGTCTAAAACAACAAAAACAAAAGTCTTTGGGGAGACCGGGGATGGTAGTAACACTTCACATCAGTAACTCAGTAGTTGTTTGTGCTAGATCGGTCAAACTTTACCCAGTACTCATATTTGTCTCCTACAAATAACACTCACCTGGACATCTGCTCCACAATCACACATTATTATAATACTAGATAGAAATATAGATGTAACAATGAAAGGTAATTTGCTGAGATACAATCCATGCTATCCAATTTATAACTCTACTGAAGAATAAAGAATAAACTGTTTTATAAAGTGAACAATTTGAAGTGAAAGTGTGTGGACTGTATTCCTGCATGTGCATCTGTCTCATAGGCCTAAGGGCTCAATCACTGACACAATTTGTCTCTGGGGTGCAGGCTTTGTGGGCAACAAACTGACTTTTTAATAAACTGTTACAACTGTCCTCCCCCAAGCAGCCATTACAGTAATGTGGGTGTTAAGTTAGCACCAATAAGAAGCACCAAATTAAAAGAAACTGCTACTTTATGTGAAGTCAAACCACATTATGATGAACGCCAGGCAAAAGATGATCTTGATGCAGGTTTGTTTTTCACTTTCTTACCTGACAATATTTGTTTTGGTCATAAAATCCACAATATTGATCACAGAAACATGCCATTTCTCCTGTGAGCTCAAAAGGGAAATGGGAGTGTGTGCTATTGATGACATCACCGCAGCTAGTGTCACTCCCTGGTCCTCCGTCGCCCCTAAGTGAACCTTGAGTAGGCAGTGTTATGTCAAACTATTATTTCGGATAATTATTGTTAGTTAATGTAAGTATTATCAGTACAATGTAGTCACAGTATTAAATGTAATTATGCTAAGTGGCCTCTTTCAGAGTATTATATTCTAACATTTTTATATTATATTTATCAGCTATTTAGCTATTTTTATTATATGTCTATATGTATTGTGCCTTTTTGCTTTGTGTGTTGAATTTGAGAGCTTCTGTGTTGCATGTCTTGTTAGTACTTGACAATGTAGTATAAGAATATCCTGAATGATGATACTACTTCTATTAATATTGTCACTTCTTTCATTGTTTGTGCACGCATTGTAAAGGGTCTTTGTACATTTGATCTTATATTCTGTTTTTAGGTTTACTTTGTAACATCTGCCTTGTGACTACAGATGAAAATGGCATCTTGGCTAATAACTCTGGCGCATTTACAACAATGTTTTTTATTATTGTGCACTGTCCCTTATCAAATAAACCAATAAATAAATCAGCAAAGTCACGAAAGTAACTATAAAGTAGCCTAGTGTCTCAGAATTGTACTTAATACTGCTCATCAGTATCTCTGACTGGACTGCACTGACTCTGCTGCAGTACTGGCGCGCTTTTGGACTACAAACTCCCTCAGTGTTATGTGTAGTACAAAACTATTGGTTCATGAAGTGACCGTTACAGCCAATCAGATCAAGCCTTCTAACATGCAGAAAAAACTGAAGTTGTTGTCCTATTTCCTCGACCGGTAATGTCTGAGTGCGGTGAGTTATGTTGAATTAATTTTACTTATTTTATATGGATGCTACTTTTTCGATGACATATGCCACACTGATATTTATGTATGGAGGTTTTCAACGGGGGGAGACAGCTAACGTTAACTTTTAGTCTGTCGCCGCCATTATACCACCGAAGAAGCGTATCCCGCCCTCCTTCTTCGGTCTTTTCTTCTTCTCCTGCTTGGTAACGTTAACAGAAAGTAAGCACCACTGGTCCAAGTGGTAAAAGGGGTTTAGTCACCGGCTAAATCGGCCCCTATGCCCGACGTCAAAGGAATGATCCGACGGTTGTTGTGTTAGCTTTCCGAGCTAGCAAGAAAGCTAGCTACCACGCCGGGGACACCAGTTAGCCATGTTGCTCGGAAAAATGGCCATCGTTGCATGTTAGCGACACAGTACTGGACAGAGATAACACAGTTTAGCTAGCTAGCTGTTAACAGATAGCATTGACTCGCTGGTAGCGCGAGCCAAACCAAACCCCTACTCAAACCGGTTAAAGGAGCTAACATGATGCTTGGTGTTAGCCGGGGATTGCATGAGCTAGGACTAATATCTATTGTCAATATCGGTTATTGTCCCTGCAGAAAACACTCATAAGTATCGGCCAACGTTCTGTTATCCTCCACAATGCACGTCATGTAATCAACGTTAACATTCATGGCGTTTAGACACCTGTTAGGTCCACTCTGCTCAGTAATGGATGAACAAAAAGCAAATTACAACAGGTGTTTGCAATAGGCGTAATCAGATGCAGACCAGCACACATCTGATGATTTAACGTTGATGCCGGACTGAGGTGATGCAGTCTTGCATAAACCCACTGCTTTGAATCTGACCACAGAGAAGAAGGGCGCAAATTTGTCCTAGACCACTAGTCCATCATCCCAACAGGGGGCAGTGGGGGCATTATTGTTCCGTAATTGACGGTTTATGATGTGGTTATATTCTTTATGTTTTGTTCTATTAATAAAACCCAAGCAAAGGCCGAAACCAACAATGGATTTATCACACTAACAAGTACTGCCCATGTGGGAATTTCAAATGCCCGACAAACCCTCAGACCTTTAACACTGTATAAAAGTATTGCACTGGGTGACATGTTGCCTCTTTACGTGGATGTGGTAACTGTAGTTTTAAAAAAAAATAAGTTGATCCCATGGACACCATCCTGCTGCTGTAACCTAAAACCTACAGTGTCCAGCTGTTTTACATCATTACTTTTTTGGGATCTTTAAAATAAATGTAATCTATATATTTGTGTACATTTAAACAATCTTTAGTAAGAACACATTGGCTTGGCGCTGAGTGTCAAAGACCTGTTGTAAAGCATTGAGAGACAGATTGAAATAGCAGTGTTTTCAGTCTTGTCATGGGATTTGTCGACAATAATAAACATGGAATATCGCCAGCCTCATCCTTTAAGCCACAGACTTGTCTGCCAGTTAAGATGATCAACTAGAAGGTGTGTCACACTGATGTTATTAAAAGGTATTGATGTGTGTCCTTCAGTGGATTTCTTTGATTTGTGAGGCTCTAGAGCTGTACTAGTGCAGTATGAGGTCCGACTGGTGTCTAGTAGGTGGGAAGGATTGCAGAAATTGTGTTTGATTATAGCTAGCTTCATTCACCAGCAGCATGCACTTCCAGTGGGTCCAATTACAGCACATATCTAATTGATGTTGGAGCAAAACGTCTGCCTGGCCCATGAAATGGCAGAGAGAGAGAGACTTGGCGAGGTCTCCACTGAGCAGCAACCTGCATGGTCAAAATAACAATTAGCCCAGGCTCAGCGCACGGTGAGTCATCCTGGCAACCCCAGGGTTAGCCTCTTGGCGCTTGTGTCCAAGCTGTTGTCTTGATAATATATGCAGGCACTTCTTTTCATCAGGAGAGGGCAATGTTCACAACCTAACTTCAAATGTAATGCACTGGTGGGTAGGCATCTATATAAGGCTCACGTCGGGATATTACTTTCATATTCCAAGCATGCTGAGTTTTGTGAACTGTTTCACCTTTTATCTAAGGATCAGTTTTGTGCTGCTGCCTTTCTTATGAAATGTTTTTGATTTCTAATTCCTTGGCAGCCATGGAGAGTTCGTCGGTGTACATGTGCTTCCCCTGCTACCAGGAGTTCAACACCCTGGAAGAGGTGCTCGAGCACCAGTTGACGTGCACCGCCGAGGATGAACAGCTGGAAACACCTGGAACCGCCCCTGTCACGGTTCCACTGCTACAGACTCGGGTAAATACTGGCACCGTCAACATTGTCCCCTTTTTATCAAATGAATGCAGGAGCTTTAGCTGCTCCTACAGGAGCGAAGAACATCAATATTGTGGCCTGAAACGACAAGAGGTGTGATTGCATAAAATCCTCTGAATTCGATGTGGAGAATGACATTGAAGTGACAAGTATAAAAGAAGTAATAAATTGACAATGTTCTGCTACTCATCATAGTAACAGTGACCTTGGCCAGAGCACTTAACATTGAGTCGTTTGCCGTGATTTATTGTCTCATTTCGAGGGGTTGTGTATTAATATCAAAGTGTTCTCTGATGTAATGATTAGCCATAGAACATAGCTGTTTTTTGTGTTGGATAGTAATCCGGCTCATTAGTGCTGACCGATAACTCGTATTTTCATCATCATCGCAATATGAAACTGCGTGATAAACACGTCGCAAAAGACCAAAACAGTCTGTCCTCCGCTGCTGCTGTTTTACACAAGCACAGCTCGCTAGCTCGACTAATAGCGAATTGTTACTAACAAGTAGACGACAGAGCCTCCGCGTTATTGTTTTATTACAGCGTAAACCTCGACTACACAAGCTAAAACAAAAGCTATCTGTATGTAGTCCAGCTGTTTAGCTCTGTTAGCCATGTATTTTATAATTTGTCAAATTCAAAAACTGCTGGCTGACATACATAATGTATGATATGGATACTTTTCTTATGCACATTTAATTATTTATTGCTAGTCATATTATCGTTGCAATACTGAACAAACATGATCTTGACATATGTGTTTGGCAGGCTGGATTTACCCTTTTTTAAATTATTTTTACTTTTGCTACTGGAACATGTATGCATACCTTATCCTGGTAAATCCTCACTAAGTCTCTGCACCACTACATCTGTACAGACCTTTAACTTTTACCGCGATACTTTGTCGGTGGCTGTGTAGTAAGGCCTGCACATTATTCATTCGTTTTCTAAGTACTTAAGTTCTACCTGGAACTGCCTTCTGTCCAGGGTAATGGCAAAATAGCACATTAGCACATTGTGTATCACAGTAACGAGTCTCTAGTGATGCAAACAGGTGTAACGGGCAAACATGTGGCAGTGCTAAATGTTGATTAATTATGGAGTGTTGGCTTCTTAGTCGATGCATGTTTTATGTTTTGAAATAAATCATATCTGGCATACATCATATGTACCAGTGCTGTTGGTTGAGCTCTGTTCTGAAAGTGTTGGTGTTCACAATAATTTGTTGAATCAGAGCATACAGTTTTCAGCTTAATGGAGAGGTTGTTTTTGGTAATATGATACAGTACAATGGCGACATAGTTAAAAAAAAGAAATAAGCCAGGAATGCACTTTGGGTATTAATTTGATAAATGATGCAGGGTTGTGCTCAGCGGCACGACGGCTCCCTAAAATAGAAGCCAAAATATTTTGATCACTTGTTGGTGGCACGCTCTTAGTTTAGGGAAGAACTTTTCGTGCCCCTGTGTCTGCAGCCTTGGCCGGAGGCGTGATTTTTCAGGGTTGTACGTTTGTCTGAGCGTCCGTTCTCATGAAGCGGTGCCTCAGGAACGCCTGGTGGGAATTCCTTCACATTTTGCACTAATGTCCACTGGGACTCAAGAATTAATTGATTGGAATTTGGTGGTTCCTTTGACTTCACAAATACAATTCTTTGGCCATAACTCAAAAATCCACATGGTAATAATGACAATTATACACAAATGTCTACTCGGATAAAGTTATTAAGGGATTTTCGGACAGACATGGATGTACGCTGCAACTTGACAGGTTGGTGAAGGGATAGAACCGGGACGCGGTAACTCTAGTTTAGATATGCAGCGGCTTTTCTTTCCCTCTGTGTACTTCTCTATGGGAATTCAGATGTAGTTATATTGTTTTGGATTAAAATGGATTTTTGCAGTGCATTCAATATTTTTTACTTCATGTGTCCTGTTTGGAAGATATTCTTCTCGGATGAATTTCATCAAAATTATTCGCGTATTTAATTTGACTTCTGCGAAGATGCTATTTGAATTGCAGAGTTGTAGAGTTGTATATCCTTACAGTCTTCAACACGCGTCCATAAAGCACAGTGACACTCATGACAGACAAATTGCATCCTGAGTCACTGGGGGGGGGGGGGGCATGAGAAATGCATCCGTCAGCGGCACCCTTTCTCCTGATGGATCGCTCATTGGCCTTCACATGGAGGAATCAGCAGGACAAACACTATGAAAGCTGCGCACCTTATGACTTCCTGCCCCCCCCCTTGCTTAAGCTGGTTTACTTCACATATGGCAGCCATTAACATCTATCAATAATGAGAGTAATAGGAGTAAGAGTTGTTAAATAAGTGTAATTTGTTCATCAAATTCACTTGAGCTGCCCTCTAAAAGCTTCAATATTTTGATTCTGAAAAGTGTAATAACTCAACTGCATGCTCAAGTGTTGTTGGAGTGCGTTTCAGTCTTAGTGCCCTGGCCAGCTGCTTGCATCGCCGTCTGGCTGATATAGTTTAGTCTGTTTTAAACAAGAGGCCGATTTATATTATGGGACTTGTGTCTGCCATTTTTGTAGTTTCATTAATTGTAATTAACAGCAAAATGTAAGCAGTGGATAAACGCTACAACCTAAATAAAATACATAGAGAGCTTTGACGTCGTGTTCTGCACCAAGAAACACTTGCCACGGCCCATTTATTCAGCATTTAACTGTCCAAATGTTCCGTGTTTCCCACAGGGTTTTGTGGGACTGGTTGGTGGACTGTGGACCCTCTATGGGGCTTCGGGGGCATGCTCCCCCGGAAAAACATTTTGTCCACTTTCAAGTTAAATGCTTCAATCTGGTCACTATGAGAGCATTAAGAGGCCAGATCTATGATGGATTGTGTGCTCTTGTAAACAGTGCTCCTGCTGTTGGTCTAGTGCTGGAATGCATATTTAGGCTCCTTCAGAACAAAATATAAGTCAACAAATAATATGATGTATTTAAAATTAGCTCCAGCGTTACCAGCTGCCTCATTAAAGTCATGAACACATCAATGCATCAGTAATTATTCTATGACGAAGGCGTATCGTAAATGTATTATTTGAAATGGGTCGTTATGCATAATGAGTTTACTTTTACCAAACTACAGCTGGTCACTGCGCAGGAAGTGAGCACAGATTTTTACTGTAAAATCTATGTAATTAATGGGAAACACTGCTTGTAGGACGGGAGTCTTGTCTCCTCACTTGTGAATGTGTGTTTTTGTTCGAGGTATGATCTTCTACTCTCTCTAGCCACACTAGCTTTTCAACGGGCGACACACGTTGAATCTCTAGATGATCCGCCAAGCTGAGCTTCTCACGGTCCACGTGTCTTTAGCACAGTACTGATCTAACAGCGTCCATGTTTTTTCATGTGGGTTAAGATGTAAACGTTTCAAAGATGTGAATTCTTTTAAGTGTAAAGTAATTCCCATTTTGACTGTGGTAAAAAAACCTTTGAAATAACAGAACAACATGAATATATCATAAATTTTAGGTCACATCGCTCACCTCTACTGTATTTTGTCCGACTATACTGTATATGCACGGAAGACGGTCGCTTATTTAGTATTAATCACAATATGAAACAAGGAATGCTCAAAACTTATCACAAAGGTCAGAATAAATTGATTTATTGTAGTACAATTTCACAAGATATGCCCTTTGTTGCCAAGAAATTGAGGATTCTCTCCAAAGAAAGCAGCTGTAACAAAAATCAACTAATGCAAACAAAAACTAAAACGGCACATTGTTATTTCTTTAAATTGTCTATTACCATTTACTGTGCCACTAACCGGATCCGTGTAAGTGTTATAGTTTATTTATTAGTTCATATCCAAAGGGGCAGAAACGAGATAACTACTAACCAGCTAGCCCAGACACATCTGTCTTGTGATACCATTTAAAGCCGACGTTATTTTGAAGACATTTGCTTTAAGATCACAAGTAAGAAAACCACACTCGGCAGACCGATGGCTGCAGGCTGTGACCTCATTTACACCTGGTGTTAACATGCTGTCTGTATTTATAAGAGGAACAATCAGAACGCTGTTGAATCAGCCGGACCAAATTAACTCTTTACATAAATAGAATGCTAAAACTAAGGCCCATAAATCACTGCATTATGTGAGAGTGACGTACTGAACTGTCGACGTCTTTAACCTCGACCTTGATGTTCTGTTTTTATCATTCAAATAGACTCGGGGAGCAAATGTAAAACCTTGTGGAGTGACCCATTCCACCCGATGGGCCTTTGATAGTTATCAGCCGGGCTGAGGCCTGATCTTGGCTGTCTGGAGCTCTCAGAGCAACCTCGGCTCTAAACACATGCCGCTCTAATTGACCTCAGTACCCCAACACTGAATTCTCATCCCTCATCTGCCAGAGAGAATGAAATGAAAACAAAACGCTGCAGGTCTACTTGAGTCATTTCCTTTGTGCACAGAAACAAACGCAACAAGTGAAACATTAAAGAGAGTCTAATCTCCAATTTCCTCTCTTTTTTTTTTTTTTGTCCTCCCCTTGTCTTTGCAGCAACAGGTCATCAATATATCAAAGACATTAACAGTCCCACAGATTGAAGTCCAAGCAGGACACTCCTCGGTGCAACCTGTTCTCCAGCAGGCTGCAGTCGGTGCAGATGTAGCATCAGACCAGCCCAGAATCCTCTACCAATGTGGGGACTGTGATGAGCTTTTCAAGAGCCTGGACCTTTGGCAGCAACACCGTAAAGAAGAGGCATGTCAGCAGTCCGCCTCTGGGAGGAAGTCGAACCCTGATTCACAACCTGAGCCAGAGACCGCTTCAGCTCAGAGCTCGGATTTAACTTTAAACACAGAGGAAACTACACACGAAACTAGTGAAAATCTTCAACCTGAACAAGTGGAGACTCCCGAAGCAGAGGAAGAGAGGCAGCAGGTTGCAGAGACCTCTTCAGTTCAGAGCTCTGATCCTCCGGTTTCTGAGGTGGCGGCGGCCTCAATCTCCAATCAAGAGGAGTGGTCTCCCAAGAGGAGAGGGCTCAACAAAAAGCCCAAGCCTGAACCCGTGCTCCTGTGTGTGGACTGTGGCTCTTGCTTCGGCCTGGTGTCTGAACTAGTGTCCCACCGCAAGACCCAACATGGCTTTGAGGAAGCTCTGCACCGCTGCCCCGTGTGCGGGGAAAGCTTTCTCAACACCACACTTTTTCTCTACCACCGCAAGCAACACCGGCAGAAAGGCGAGGAAAGGTCGGTCGAGGTCCCCGAAGAGAACTCAAAGCAAGTTTTTACTCGGAGCAACGGGACCGACGCCACTCCCCCCACCGGTGTCGCCTCCAGTTTCACACAGCCCGAGTTGTTCATGTGCACCCAGTGTGGGGAGAGCTTCAGTGACGAGGGAGGGCTGGGCACCCATCGTAAGCAGAAGCACGGCCTAAAGGAGCCGCTACACATTTGCCCCCATTGTGACGAGAGCTTCATGAACACCACCCAGTATCTGTACCATCGCCGGCAGCATCGCTTCACATCGGGGACAGAGGTGGCGGAAGGAGCTGAAACGGGCGATGAAGCAGCTAAACCTCAGGATGCCCCACAGAGCTCAAAGCGGCTGCTTTCCCCGCACGCCACTGCTTGTGATCCCGGTTCACCGCTAGCTAAGAGAAGTCGGCCCTCTTTCAGGATCCTGAGCGGCAGTGGTGCCGGTAAGTGAAAAACATTAGTTTTAAAAGCCCATTTGTGCGTTTGTCGCAGGATGTTTTGGTCCTTAGTGAACAGTTTTTTTGTGTTGTCAGGAAACAAAGCCATCAAAGAGGAATCAGAGGGCAGTACTGCAGCAGACTTGGACAACACCAACCACCCTCCACCTGCCAAGCTGCTGCAGGACTGGGCCCGCACCCCACTACCCCATGTGTGCCCCTACTGCGGCAAAACCTTCACCCGGCGCGTCTTCCTCCGCACACACGTCTTCAGCCACACCGGAGAAAAGCTCTTCACGTGCAAGGTACCAATCAAAACTGGATCAAAATCTGTCCTTTTCTTATGTCTGGGGGATCATTGTATTTGTTGGAAATGTCACCTTCGTCACGCAGCAGACATCGTCGAGATGATGTAATGCTTTTGAAGTGTTTCAGGTTTGAGTCAAACACAATCTTGAACCACCGACCTCATTATATTTGACAGTTTCTCTGCACAATGGAGATTGTTTTCAAAAACTAGGATTTGAGAAAATGTAGCCATATGCAACTTTATTTATTTTCCTTAAAAATGAGGTGCTTAAAAAGTTTGTATATATACGATTATGGCTTTGATCCTGATTGTTGTTGCTGTGAAGGTTTGCACAAAGTCCTTCACTAACTCCCAGAGCCTGCTGCGCCACAGCATGAGCCACACGGGCAACAAACCCTTCAGCTGCGACGTTTGTGGCAAAAACTTCTCCCAGGCGGCCACCCTGAAGAGACACCAACGCATCCACATGTCAACACAGCCGCGACGCAAGCGTGGACGCAAACCGGTACTGTCTCTGAAATACCTCTCAAATATTACAAAATGTTGTATCTATCATTTTGTAAAATGAAAGCATATTTAATCAGCATTTGTCATGTTGAAATGATTGCGAGAGATATCTTTGATTCTGTTATTTTTGGTAGATAACTTGGAGTGGAATCCTTTTTTCTTTTTCTTATTTCTACTGACCTTGACTGCTGTGTCACCCTGCAGGTGTGTACGCTGGACAATGAGGGATCTGCTCATCTATTCTCCTGTCCTCACTGCCCGTCACGGTTCAACACGGAGGATCAGCTCAACCATCACAAGTAATAACACAACAACAATATTGCATTAGTTGTTCCGCATTCTGTATTTGTGGAAGTGTAGGAGGAAATGACCACAACCCATCTAACCACTCCCGTTACATACTGTGCGTCATACTCAACACTCTAAAAGCTTGAAACATCTGGATTTCCGTATACACGCAAGATTGTCAGTATTCAATCAGTTACGACCCTGTTTACGGTGTAAAAACATGAGAATTACGGTTCCAAACAGAACCGCGGACAGGATTTAGATAAACCTGACGCCGCTGCCCGACCCTCGCCAAGAGCCGCAGTAGTTGAGCCGTGTCTGACTACTGAGCAAGACCTTAAAGCCGTGTAGCAAGCACACTGACTGAGATGTCTGCGTGCCCTTGAGCCTCAGCCACATATGATTGACAGACAGAGGCCCAGTAAATTAAGATGATAACGATAACAACCCAGGGCGGGGGAAGAGGCTCCTGCCTGGGTGAGCAAGGTGGAGAGGACATTGTGTGCGTGTGTGCGTGTGTGCGCGTGTGCGTGTGTGCGTGTGCGTGTGTGGGTGGATGGATGGATGGATGGATGGATGGATGGATGGATGTACTGAGCCAAAAGCAGAAACCAGACACCCCCCCCACCCCCCAAAAAAAGTTTTACTGTTCAAATACCTTTGGGTGTTTGTGTTGATACTGACTGACAAACACCAGTTGCATGTTCTGGAAAACAGTGGACCATACAGGCAATTTGGTGCCATGCTAGCAAGAGTCAGTGTTGAGACTTTTCTGTTAATCAGCAGATAATATTTTGGGTAAATCAGTATTAATTGGTCTGTTTAATAACAGCCTTAAATATATTATTTTGTCCTAAACAGTCCAAAACCCAACAATCACAACTCAAAGGGCACTTAAGAGCTTCATCTCACAGTCTCCTTCATGCAGATGCAGTTTACACATACTTTAATTACTGGAGAATATTTCAGATTGTTATGTTTTTTCCCAACGTCACGACAATAAGTTTAGAAGATGAGGAAAAGCAAAAGATTGCAATTTTGCTTGAAATGGCTAAAACCATTCGGTGATTATCAAAATTGTTTTAGATTCATGTTTCTGAGCTCTAGTCAGTGTAGTAATAATGCTGAGTGTGCAGTGTCACCCCTACTCATTAAAGAACATCTGGCTGGGAGAAGAGGTGACCCTGGCTGAAAATGTAATCCTCCCTGCTGCCTCAGGGTCAGCTGTCCCTGAAATATTGATTTCTCTTGTCTATTTAACGGGGAACAGAAACAGCCTGGCCTCTTCTACGGCCATTGAGAGGTCCTTGCACATCACCTCTAGCATCCCGCTTCACCTTAAGTGACTCGTGTCTTTTGCTGCAACTGCAGCAGTAATATACATAACGCATAAAGCCGTATGTGTGCAACATCATGATCCCTAAACTTCAACATCATCCGTGTTTGTCCTGAGAGCAGGCCTGATGCAGCGTTAGGTGTACACATCCCAACACTTCTCTCCTCCCCTACGACGATATCCAGTGTAACGTTATGCAATGGATAAATATAGTCTTTCATGTCCTGACTCGGACTCCTCCCAGTTTATTGCATTTATATTTGTTAAATCTGCAGCCGTTATACACTCGGCTAATTCCCTTTATTTAACCTGAAGCACAGCTAAGCACATACTTACTGGTAATCCTCATACAAGTCAAATAAAGGGTGGCAGCTTAAAACCAAAACATTACTTTCCCCCACTCTTTACATTCTGCATGTGTCTTTCGTTTGTGCCATTTTCAGTCTTTATTCAGTGCTATTTAATTGTTTGTGTGACTATTCCCTCTCCCTGTGAGGCATTTTTGCCCATTTCCCTACGTCCGCGTTATTCCTTTTGCAGGATAGCTTGAAACGTGTCCGTGTCAATAATCTGCTGGAGGATTAAAGCTCTCATGTGAATATGTTTTTGTGTTTTTAAACAGACTGCTCCACACCAGCCATCCATTCCCCTGCCACGAATGTGGAGAGGCCTTCAAACGGCGGAGAGAACTGGATCTGCACTCGCTCACTCACCAAGGTGAGTGTTCAGGGCTCAGCCTGGCATTATGTCGTTCACCCCTATACTTTCATGGTTAGCAGGAGCAACCTAAAGCTGATATAAACTGCAGACAGCCATCATCTGGGCTGCAGTGTTTTCCTCCGTTATGCAACATCTCTTTTGTTCAGCGGTTAGTGTCACAGACAGTATGTCACATCCTTTCCCTGTGTGAACATTCCCATTAGACCTAATCAAGAAATGAAATGCAAGCCCTTTTGCCTGCTTGTAATGGAAACCTAATTTAGATGTTTTTATCTTATCGGGACAGCAATTGATTAATGCATAGGCGATAAATGCCCCCATCAGCCTGCCCGGGTGGCCCATCTTGTTTTATTTATCAACATACATCCGTGTCATATGTGCTTTGCTCCTCTGATGCATTAAGTCAATGACTTTCCATTGATTTGCGTCCCATATGGAACGCAGGAGGGAGGAAGATGGAGGTAAATGAATTGGGTCAACATGTTGACTCTTCATCTTAATCAGGGGGGGGCTGGCACGGCAACCTCATTAGTGAAGCTTGAAGAGTCAGCGCGCCGCAGGGTTCAGAGGTACGACGCTCCTCAGAGAGAGAGTAGATGGGAGAGATTGATCAGTCTGGGGCCAAAGGCGGAGGCCGTCCTTATTAAAGGTTTAATCAGAGGGTCCCGGTGGGGAGCGGAGGGGCTCGCTCCTTACTGGGATAGACGCTACAGATGGTTAGCAGATTGCATAGACGTTGGCTCGACGACCTATAGGCTCACTGATGAACCGTCAGTGTCAGCGATTTGCCAGCCAGCTTCTCAAGAGCAACGCAGCGAGAGTGTGGTTGGCTTTGCCAAAATCCAACTAGGGCACCAGCTGATCACAGCTGAGATGATGAGCAGATTAATTGATCAGCCAACTGACGGGAACATAATCTGCAACACTTTTAACTATTGTTTATTCACTTTAATCAGGTGAAAATGCCAAATATTTGCTGATCTCAGTTGTGAGGATCGACTGCTTTTCTCTTTTTTTCTCTATATTTAAGCTTAAATAAATATGTAAATTGGATATTTATATGATTTGGAAAAAAAAGCCAACGTCACGATCACCCTGGGAAATCTGCACGATCAATTTATGATGAGAATAATTATTAGTTGCAGTTCTGCAAATAATTATTATTGATTAATCTGTCAATGATTGTATTGATTTGTCTGTGAAAAGAAAGGCCTGTTGCATTTCAGATGTTTCAGTCCAACATAAATAATTATATTTACAGTGGAAACATGTATCAAGTAATCCATTTCATTTTGAAAAGTCAGCTTTTTAAAAACCAACATGGCTCAGTTCAAAATTTTGTTTCAAAACAAAAAAACTGCTCTCTTCTCTGATCAGATGATTTGCTACCACTACACCTCTTATGATTATTATAACATCATACAGATAACCGTCTAATTTGTAAATGATATATTCATTACATGATTATAAAGTAATGAAACAGACAGCTTCGGAATGTACTGAATTTTATTCTCTGTCTGGTACAGTACAGCTGTTTGAAATGCTTTTTAAATGACTGTACTGTGTATAGTTCTAATTAAAGGCGGATGTTAATGGGATTCCTGTAGATTGGGACTCAATTTCACCTTTCATGGCGTGACTCGGACAGAACGGGAGCAGCACTCCTAATGACAATAGGTCAGAGTCAGATGTAGGCGATTCTGTGCCGGTCACATTAACATGAGACACCTGCACACAGAGGCTCAACCACAGCACAGGGTCTCTCCCTCTGCTCTTGTTGTGTGTGGGGCAGGCAGGAGTTAATATAAATGAATACACACTCCTTTACATTCTTGTAAATAGATACTGATTCATAAATAGATTTGTATAAATAAATAGATGAATAAATACATAGTTTTAAATGTATAAATAGTTGACTATGGTAAGCCTACACACACAGTATATAATACTAATATAATAAATCTGAATCGGCCAAGAAAATTGCAATGCTGGGATGTCTAGTCTTTACTCAATAAAAATGCAGTTCTAATAGAAATAACCACAGGAACGAGGCTGGGACGGGACAGTTTACATTGTAATGCAGTATATAATATATAGCTTCCTGTAGGCCCGCTGCAGTATGTGTCCCTGTACGCATTCGCTGTCCGTCTCCATCTCTAGCAGCCGTGACGGCTTCTTGTTGAGTAGACGACACACGGTAGCCTGAGGAACATCTCGTTGGTTTGTCATAAGCTTCGAGGAGACCACGTTATTCAATTAGAGAAAATAAATGAGTTTTTGTTTCCGTCATGATTTCAATGTGCATGCAAGCTAAGAGCTAAGAGCAGACGGGTTACAACGAGGAAAAGAATCATCGGAGTAAAGTAAATAGTTCATTCTTTAAACAGCACTTGTAAAGGAATTGGGACTGCACAGTGTATCTTTTTGAAGCTCATTGCTATGACAGCGTGCCAAATAAACACAGGGAAACATATTGTCTCAGATGCAACCAAAATTGTCTGCATCTGAATCACCAAACATTTCTATCTGCACCACCTGCTGCTGCACAATTGTTAGAGCGACGGCGACGAGCTCAAATCCGCCATCAGATGTCACCGTGACAGGAAAGCCTTTTGCAGCACGATGACCGAGTATGACCGCCTGCCTAAAAACCTGACGCTGTTCCATTGCAGACAAGCAGCCGGCGACGTGTCACCACTGTTCAACCCAGTTCGTGAACCAGTCGGTGCTGGAAATCCACATGCAGCGTTGCCCTTCCACAGAGGAGGACAAGAACACGGGTCGTGGACGGGGTCAGGGCCGGGGACGATGCACCGGACAGGTTGGGAACACAGCAACATAAATGAAGGTTTTTCTTCTCCACTGCAAAGATACTCACAGTGTGAGGGATTGCTAAATTCTAAGAGACAAATTTGGATGAAACTAGGTCACCAGTCCAGATGGAAAGAAAGTGGGGTTAGCATTAGAGGGGGGGTGATGTAACAAAGGTCCCCGGTTGTGTGACGTTGTGGTTACGTCAGCCCATACAGACACAGACCTTTTCTCTTTTCATTAATTACCCCTCGTCTGTTCATTCTCCGTCTCCTCACTTTCCGGTTTGTCTCCTCTTTCAGGTCGAGTGTGACCTATGCGGCCACCGTTGCATGACCCAGGAGGGCCTCGACCTCCATCGGTTATCCCACACGGGCCAGACGCCCCTCAAGTGCCCGGTGAGGCCTTGCCGCCGGCGATTTACCTCCAACAGTACCCTGGAGGAGCACGTGGTGGCCCATTTCCAGGGCACGCTCGGCAAGTCCAAAAACCGACCCCGCTTCCGCTGTCAGATTTGCCTCAAGGAGTTTTCCTACAATTCCACCTTTAATGTTCACATGAGGACCCACACTGATGAGAGGCCCTTTGAGGTAAGAAGGATGGTGTGTGTGTGTGTGTGTGTGTGTGTGTGTGTGTGTGTGTGTGTGTG